AGCCAATAAGAGGTAGAAACAGGAAACTAGTAAATGAAGTGGTAAAAATTTAATTAATTAAATTTGCTGTAGAAGTGTGTGAGGATAGTTACACAAACAAAAACCATATAGCAGCGTGTGTACTCAAATGAAACTTGTCTGCACGGAGAGCATCAGCACATGAATAGCAATATAAAACCAAGCCCAAGAAAAATAAATCATTGGATGGTAAGTATTTCTAAGCGGCTTTAAAATATATTACTGAGAGTAAACAGGTCAACATTCATACCATTAATAAGCACAAAAGGCGTAAATTTTATACCGGGGTATATGTATGGTACTAAATTAGGACTAAATTATCAAATTAAAAAGTCAATTTATAATTTTTGATGATTCACCATTTCCTGTCGAGAAAATAGCGTAACAAGATTACAGATATGAAAATGTCAAAACAATGAACAACCTACAAAATTTGCTATTTGATTTACTAAAAATGGAAATCATATTTCAGTGTTAAATTAACCATAAGTTTTTAACTGACTGTAGACCTAATACTTGCATACAAAAGCTCAGAGGTACGTTGGATAGGTCTTTTCAACGACATTAGATGCACTAACAAGAAACGTGCGATACAGTTATTTGTGCCCTTTTTAACAAGTATTGTACACTTCCTAATCCACACACTACGAAAGTGGTCAACAGACAGTCATTAACGTAGAGCCTGGCACGAATGTTCGTTCATCTAAGTTCCCATATCGTATAAGAAGACGAGGTGGACTTGACAAGATAAATAGCGAAGAACCAGAATTGCTATATTGGCAATGATAATCAGATAGTATTAAAAATATAGTTCTAAAAGACAGAGTGGAAGAATATGTATAAATGGATACTAGATATTAAAAAAAAACAAGAAAACACAGAGTGCATGAATCTGGAACATTCCAAGCAATTCTGAGTCATCACAAAATTTTTCAACCACCGATTTAAGTTACCGTGTAGATGTCAACCAGGTAGTCTGCATCCACCAATATAACTCAGACGAACAGTCAATTACTTTGGCTGACGATAGGTCTTGGTTTAGCCACGCCCAGGCAATATTCATCAACATCAACAAACGTTGGTCGAGGAGGGTGGTGGTAAGACACATAAGACACGCTTCAACCGCCATAGTCGATCAAGATCTACAACCGCAATCATCTTTACCTAGTGCCTAATGTCTAACCTCCACATTATTTATTCGGTTATTCCACAAAACGCGACCAACGCCGTGAAGATACTTACGATTACAAGCCTACAACCTACGTAAGTCTTCTACTTTTAAAGACCATACTTCACACCCATATGGTCATACAAAACAGACTGAAACACAGTAAGTTTATCTGTTATTTGACGTGTAGAAATATCGTCCACTCTACAAGTAACGCAATTCCAAATCACTCTTCAAATTTTCCTTAGTCCAATAGATGATGTGGGACAACAAAATTCGATGCATATCACCACCACTCCTGAAATGTTTTTATTATAGCTGGGTGACAGTCATTTGTTAATCAGCCTTTTTCTGAAGACTGACATAACAACCGTTCCATTATGAAACGATAAACAGTAGAAATCAGCAATATCTTGAGAAACAACTCACGCAGTTTTATGACTAGAAATTCATTTGATTTTTTAAAAATTCATGAAATTAGGTGGGTTAATGTTGATTATTCAGTGGTCATACAACAGTTTTGGTGGAAGTCACTTGAGCAATAGATCAATTGAATTGTCTTTCGAAGTTATAAACCCAGTGTTTCAATTGTCTGAAGATTAATAATTGTTCAAAAGTCAATCTCAAAGTTTACGTCACGAAACTCAAGTTACTCGTTACCAATGGCTTAGACGTGCTCGAGCAGCCTTACTATTTTCAAATCAAAAGTAAATTCCGATCGCCAGGTTTTATCGTCCATATGTATGCTTCATGAAATTCTATGATTAAGTGATAATCCACCAGGCCAAACCGACAGAAATAGAAACGTTATAAAGAGTTCAAAACTTAATTTTCAAAGCGGAATGATTCGTGAAGCTGCAATCGAGTTTACTACGGTATCGTTTAAGTGAAACCGATTCTTATTTGCGCTTCATGAAAAATGACAGCTAGCCTTCAACTGATTTCAATCCAACATTTACGTGGTAGGTGGGTTGAAATCCCTCATAACTTACTGGAATTCTGGATAAGGGATTTTGGGCCGAGTCGGTAGATGTAAACTACCGAGTTAATCATAATCCGAAGTCGCTAATGTTGTGACATAACTAATGTCAGTTACAGTAGCAAAGACAAATTGATTTCCTATTTCTTTTTAAATATAAGCTTGATTTCACTTCATATTTCTCATTTTTAGTTTTGCTGCTTTTGAACATTATTTCAAATGTACGCTTATCGCAATGACTGATAGTTTTCACTTTCTTGACCCCTCACATTGTTAATTTCCTCTTTCAATGTGCTGCGTAGTGCAGCGAATTGAACCAAAATAGTCGTGCCAGGTCTACTGCTATATATGACTCATTGACCAAAACTTAACTGTGCTATGTCGAAAACATTTACCACACAACCCTTGGTTGTTACAAATAGACCTATGAGGAGCTAAAAAAGGTACCAGTTTAATGACGTGCACAAAATGATAGCCTTTTCGTTTATCATGACAGATTGCGGAGTCTTTAAGCAGTGGACGGTGTGAAAACAGCTAGGATTTCAAATATGGTTAGTTACTTGTCAATTGAACAGAAGTAGGATTTACTTAAAGGGCTGTATTATTTCTGAGCTTAAAAATCCACCCAACAAATGATCTTCATTTTTATCTACTTACTACACCTGACAATTCTGATACAACAGGGGATCGAAATAATTCCCCACACAAAATGAACTGGTAATATTATGGAGATGTAGAAGGAAAAGGCTGCATACTAAATAAACAAATAAATATATCAAGTATAGAAAATGGATGAAATTGATTCTTTAGGGATAAATGAGTAGTATATGTCAACAAAACCAAACATGAGAAACAAGGACAGTGTTTTTAGCATGTAGTCCCAACGTCTAAATAATGCATCCTCATAAATAAAAGGTTGCTAACATTTATTATATGGTTCGATCAGTTTTAAGTGTAAAAAAAGTTCAGTAGTTTGGAAATGAAAAGAAAAATAAAGGCACTGATCGATCAGGGATTGTTTACAAACATCCAATAGAAAAGTCGGAAATCAATAGTACCGATGATCTTAAATAGTAGCTTATTTTAATATGAAAAACGTGGCTAAGCACCAAAAGAAGACGATTAAAATACATACAGTCAAATAGCCACATAGTACTTTGACCAGTGGATTCCGGTTTAAAAAATGACTACGACTACACAAACCATGACTCATAAGCTTTTACTATGATCAGATGTGCTTATCTTTCATGTTCATTCTGATTATAAACATCTTATGAGCCAATAACTTTATGACATCCATTCACTATTTTCCCCTAACTTGGTTTTGCTGTTGTTATCGACCTTAAGTTCTCGTGCTATAAATTGCAAAACATTGGGCGAAAGTACAGTATAGGGGCGAACTAATCAGAACCAAGAACGCGACTATCACGTTAGCAAGTATGACAAGCAGTAAAAATATTTTTCTATAGTGCTCAGAAAATCTAAAATGGTGACGAAAAACTATTTCCGCTACAATGGAGTAAACGTGGTATTATTAAACATACTAAATGTTCAATCCCTTTTCAGTATATTTTATATAGCAAGCAAATAAATGCCATTCTTAAATTTCAATCTTGGTTCAAAAATAAACATCGACCTATCAGCATTATAGTTTATGGACGAACTAATTATAGTGCCGTTTAAGATTTTTATAGCCATGCAACTACAAAGCAGTTTTTGCATTATAACTGATTTCAGCCGATGATGAAAATCCAAACTTGAACCTTTCAATCCTAACCCTAAATCCGAAAGCCTAACCAAGAATAGTATGAGAACTCCTAAAAACCAACCTTGGTCCTCATAGGGCTTCGATAAAGCGAGTGATTTGTCTATATAGGCGGATTTGTATGTCGTTTCTTAGATTCACAAGCAGAGCAACCGTTAGAGGACTTTAATAGACTCGCTATGTCGAAACTGTTTGCACTTTCTAATACTGTTTTTCGATTATCTAAACAAATCCGTCAGTTATTTTAATTTCGTCCTAATACCATACTAGTACAAAAAAATGAACTGGTACGACTGTTCCAAGCCGTATGTATATCATTACGCAGATAACTAATAAACAACCAGCTACAAATGATCATACTAAGTTAGATCAATATTCTGAATAATGAAACGATGAAAAACAATTATTTTTATATCTATGTGAACAAGAAAGAGTAGAACTCCCACATCTTTTCATTTCGAGACTAATTTGACTTCTTAAAAATCAAATCAGACTATCAAACTAAAACCCCACGTAATATCATCATGCTTTCCTCTGTTCTTATTGAGTATTTTCATATGCATTACTGTACACTCACGTCTATGGTAGCTTAGTATGCTAACTTTATCACCGTATGGTAGGATAACGTGAAGTCGTGGTCATTTTTTAACAATACGTCAACATTTGAGAAAAATAAAGTAGTAAGTACAAACAAATTCTAATAGATCACGTTGATAGCCATTTTTCAGTCTACAAGGGTAATGAAACGAATCTTGTAAAAGTATTAAATCTTTTATGAAGACCGGGTATTATTTTACATGAAAATAACAATATCGCTGTTTCCAATATATATTGACTCATAACCGAGAAAATTGTGCAAAGCGCTGCAGTATTACAGCCAAAAAAATTGGTCTAGGCAAAACTTAAGAAAAACAAAGTAGACAAGTGAAATAGACGTTTATAATACGAACCTATTATAAACACAATTACTGACATTTAGAGAACCATAAGTACACGTTTCAATACGACGAGATAGTAGTTTTGTTACATTAGATAGCTAATTAGTAAAAAATATTTTTTTTTAAAAATACCTGAGTCGAAGCTTCCGGTTTCTGAGTTTGATTTACTAGACAATCTTTTCTTAGCTGATGATAATATGAGACGCGAATCCTAAGCAAAAACTCGTGATGAAAATATCGCCAACTTACCTTCGTTTGCTCCTCATAGCCAGAATTACATCCTCTAGAGTGTATTGGAGTGGATGACACTTCCAGTACCTTGTCCACGTTCTTCATCTGTACACTACTCATTATCACGCGATGTGACTGTCATCCGGAAATCCCGCCAACACAGCGACCTTCGAAAATTTCAAATGGTTCAAATAATTATGAACGGAATACAAACTTTCGATAACGGGCTTCCGTATCCAGTAGCAGTGGATTACAGATGCCTCTAGATAAGAACCTAGGTGTATTTGACGATAAATAGAAAGAAAGGATTAGTAAATTATGATGAAATACTATCCTTGGTCCTTAGGAATATATCTGGGTTGCTTTTATAGGACCCCGAGAAGGTCGCTCGGGCTATGTCAATCGGCATCTAATTCCAACATTTGACTGCTCTTGAGGAGTAGAAGGCGTGCCTACACTCCGTTCTTCTGAGTTGTGTCTCTAGTTTATGGGTGTTCCCCCTAAGTTTTGTGTTTAAGGGGATGCCCAGAACTGTTTAGGATGCTACAAGCCATTGAAGGATCACCTTCAAGGACGAGTATAACTGTTGGAGATTATCGAGAAAGTTCTTCCACTGAAGTAGTTGAAAATTCGCTTCAATGTTACAAGTGCAAGTTTTGCTCGTAGAGCATTTTTGTCACAGTTAGCGTAAGACTTCAAATCGTAGGGTACCAACACTCCCATATTTTTTTTTAAATTTCATATACTTCTAGAGGAGAGTTGCCTAAGTCGCATTTGTAGCCTGCAGCATGTCCCATATGGTCTACCTTATACTTTAGAGTGTTAAAGTTAAGTCCATTGTTGTCCGCCTAACTATGAGGTCGAGTCAGATCCTCCCTAAATACCAGCTCATCATCTTGGCTGCAAACACCTCTCCCGAGTTTCACAACAACAGTAAAAAGTAATAAATATGACGATGCCTGATGTGGAATAACTCAAGAAAAAGAGCGGTCCTAGCACTGAGCCCTGGGAGCCCCCAACAGGACATCCCGCAGCCTGAGAACGTGAATTTTACCCTGGCCTCCGTTACATATAAAGAAAGCCAATCAACTAAATATAATGTGATACCTAACCGTTTGAGATCATTCATAGGACATATATGAATAATCCTATCAAAGACTTTTGAGAATTCAAGGTACATGACGTCGAACTTCCCTCTGTCATCAAGGATCTTTATCCATCTGTCTATTGCGGCCAGCCAGTTGTCTATAAAGGAATAATCCTTCCTAAAACCATGCTGTTGGTGTGAGAAGAAATTTATGAATAGTAAGTAGTCACACAGATCGCTGCACATCAGAGACTCCACAATTTGTGAGAGTTTTGAGAGGAGTGCTAGCAGTCGGTAGCTTGAAGATTCTCTGTGTCGACCTCTTTCGGGCCAGTTTCCAGTTTCTTAGTGACAAGATTGGAACTGCTTCCTTCAGTATAACAGAATGGACCACACCGGGATCAGGAGAAGATTCCATGTTTAGGTGCTGGAGTTTCTGCTACACTGAGAAGCGCTTAGGTTTAATTCTGAGTTCTATTGAGTTGAAGATTTAGCTCGCGTCGATATATCCAGTGTGCGACGGTTGAAATGTCTGGAAAAACTGTTCTGCCAGAAGGTTGGCGGAGTTCGTTGGGCCACCAGTACCTTAAATTTGTAAACATTTAGTTTTGGGTTGTCGAATAGAGGCTGAATTATGGAATAGGCTTCACAGACTGGAGACAAAGTTATCGATAAGCCTTACCAGATCCTGAAGCCTTTCTTCCCTCAATACCTTTGTGAATTGGTTCCTTACTTGTTTGAATTGTCTGTTGTTGCTAGTTCGTTTGCATTCCACTCATTAGTATCTTTTGCGACTTGACAAGCAAAGGTTACGATTCCTTACGACTTTAAGTTGTTTTTAATTTTTGGTGACCGGTCTCAGAACACACCAAAAATTATATGCAGTAAGAAACCCCAATGCGCACCCATATCATGATGGGACTGAACATCCCAGCCCAGCTTTAGATTGTCCTGTGAAACTGGAATATCCAACCGTCCGAAATTCTTGCATCTGTCGTTGTTAGGATGCCGAAATTCAATTCTTCCTGATAGATTTACTTGAATGATTGTTCTTTAAAGTCTACTTCTGGGTGGTAGGGGATCTTTCTTGATGGTGAAAATTTATGTTGCTTGTTGTGTTCCTTCCGTAACTAAATGGCAAGATGAGAACAATCACCCTCAGCAGTTGCAGAACGTATATAAATGTCGAGCCTTCTTTAGGAAAGCCCTGTAGAAGGTACAATAACATTTGATTTAAAAAATGAGCTTTGTATTCTAAGACTGCCGGCCATAAAAACGTTGGCTTGGATTTTTGGTCTGGTTCATTTAAGTTCTAGCCTCAATGGTCTCCCTATTAATTATAATTTGTTAATGAAACGAAGCGTCGATCTACTAAAATAATATGCTATATCATTATGACGTTATTCTCATTTTTTGTTTTGAACAAGTTGCAAGTTTATAGTTTCCAGAAGAGCTGGTTAGGGTTTGTCTTATAATCTATGTATCTTCTTTATGTACGTGTTCCAAGAGAGTAGTGTCCTTCCTCAGGTAAGCGGACTAGATGAATGAGCCTTCCAGATTAATTCTTAGTTAACCACTGAAAATAATTTAGAATATTTCCAGAGGTTGACCATAGAATATTCTGTCACCTTAAACTTCGAAATCCATAAACGCCCCCGAAAATAATGGTTTTAAAATGAAAAGAGACAGATGAGTACTTAAGAAGTTTTTCACTTATATGTTGGTGCCTCAAATAAAATGTTTCTGATCCTAATATTATGTCTGTTCTAAAGCAATTCGAGTCCGCAAGGAGATTGTGAGAGAAGGTTCAGATGGTGATAAATATATTAACATATCCATGCTCGTAACGAAGATCCTTGTTTGTTAACAACGAATTATCGTTGCCTTTGTGTAGCGACGAAGCTATAATGAACAAGAAGGAACAATGAAACTAGCTCGTAATAGTAAAAGTATTTAAGGGGTCTCTATAGTTATTGTTCCGTGACCACCTAATTAATTATGAATTAGTTTCTCCGTTCAGTTTAAGAAAAATGAAAGCAAGAATTATACCTGTATGGTCAGTGAAATGATACTGGGTTCTGGCCTGATCAGTCGGTAGTCGAGTCAATAAATGTCAAGCAGTCCATCGGTCTTTGTCAAGTTCAAGGGCAACCAATCCCCATCAGTTAACCGTACATCATGGACTGACCCATATGGTGGTGGTCGCAATCTCTTCCTCGTACCCACTTTTACTAATATATTTTGGTAATGACTTCCTTTGTGTTATACGATCATCAGAGTAGCTATAGTACCTTGATACGACGAAAGGGCGATTCATGTTAGGTGCAGACCGCAAGGTTTGACTTCGACGTTGACTTTTGGACACACCATTCCCGTCTAACTCGAGTAGGCGCTCAATCATCTGCAGAGATGCCCTACGCCAGTCATATACATAGCTTTTCCTTACGAATAGTGCTTCGGCGCAGACCCCAAGAAACAAAGTTCTAAAACCTGATCAAAAGGGTTTAATGTATTAACAAAGCAGTATGTGATCCTAGTCTGAGACCTCAAGAAATTTCCAGGTTTATTCAGGCTGAACTAGATTGGGTTTCTTGAGGCAATCCAAACGAGAGAAGTTATCAAGGTTTGTCTAGACTGAAGGAGTAGGTAGTATAACTACAATATGGCTTTCAATGTTATGCTTATACCTTTCGATTATTGCCTTTGAATTTCATATTAAGACTGAATTAAAACAATTCTTAAGAAGATATTTAAGTATAAAAATAGTGCATTAGTTATCCTTGATGGCCTACTTCTTTATTGAGGGAAGAAGTAATTTGATTACCAGAGTCGGTTAATTTTCCTTTTAGTCCATAAATAAGTTAAATTGAAGAAGAATGTTCGAGAAAAACGATCCATGGACTTCAAATTTCTTGGGGTTGTGGATCCATATTCACTGTTACCTGACAATAGTTAATCATGCGTACTCCAATTATGTTAGCGAACACAGAGATCCTCTAACAACGGTGATAATGTGTAATCTTTGGGCTAACTTATTCAGTGCGGTTTGTACTTAGGAGACTTGAAACAATGAACCTTCCAAGGAGCGAACATGTTCCTATGAAAAAGGGCTGTTGTTCTATTCTTAATGGATAAATCAATCCAGTCTGCTCAGAAATAAATGATGATAATTTAGTCACCGAAAAAAGAACAGAATATGTCTGAGTGCAAGCATGGAGAATAGTTGCAGCACATTCAAATTGATAGGACTTTGTTGCTATTCGAAGTGTATACAGAGAAAGATCTTCAATCACACTCACACACATATAAACGTAGGTCGAAGCACTATTAGCACGTCCCTCTTTCAATTGACTTCATAATTCAGCGGAGACCTTCAAATACATAGAAACCGAAAACAATAAGTCGCAACAAATAGGAGATAGATTCCAGTAAGTGAAAAAATGGGAAAGGAAACAATCGAAACTGTGAAAGTATCACTGAGTGTAATATTAAGAATTGTAAATGTCCGAACCAATAATATTCTAATTTTCAAAATACAGTTCAGTTATCTGTAAGAAGATATGTCGGTGCCATAATGCAGGAGAGTTTGGTTAGTAAAATGCCTCCATGATAAAGTAAGCGTATTTGAGATTATTCACGAGAACCAAGGAGGTAGGAAATGAAAAAGAGCGGCATCATTAACACTAGTTGGTGCCATGTTTATGATAACGAGCTTGAAGTATTGAATGCATCCACTCTACAGACAGGTCGTCTGAAATTATTAAATTCACTACGTTACTTGGTAAGAAACATTGTTCTACCAGCTTTTTGATGTTTAGCTCGCATACGTTAGTTGTTCGGAAAAACATTGCCATCTACTCGATGTTCTGCGTTGAAAAATGTGCCGTTAATAGTATTAACTTCACAAGTATTATATTGAGAGGGAATTAGATAGCTGGAACCTCCGGACTACGTTATCTAACTGTGTGGTATCTGTCATTGTTATGGAATAAATAGATGAATTACAGTATAATGTGGCAGGCATAATCAAAAGTATATACCCAATGGACGGCTGTGAAAGTGTGTGGATGAGAAATAGAGTAGTTTAAGAATTTAATAACAGTAGTACAAGTAGCAAAAAAGCATAATCATAGTTTAAAATATATGTCGATGATCAAAATGTATAGAATCTTTGACTTTCCAATGTGAAAAGTGATAAACATATACGGTTTAAAGATTATTAAACAAGAAACAAGGTTCCCTGAACTTGCTGTATTATGGTTCCATTGTTTTTTGGAGACAATTATTTTGTGTTGCCAACAAAAAGTCCACAAATCACACGGAATCGTTCTATTTTGACCATCACATACACTGAATATATAATTTTTTAAAGGTATTGAATGAAGGACGAGCCATTTTTCTAGCACTGTCTGTGAAGGTGGTGGTAGTTGTAGTGATCATGTAAGCTGCACGGCTTAATAGTTGAGCTTAGTCCCAGTGATATAAACTAATAAGGGTGGCTAAGAAGCTTTTTACTTAAGTAACCTTTCTTCTTAGCTGTGAATTCCTCGAAATGTACATTAAATTATCCATGCCAAGTAATGAAACTGTGATACACCATTCAAGTATTTTAAATATTTGCGAAGAACCTTATTTAACATGAGTAAAGATGTAGGTATTAATGACAAGGTTGTACGTGATAGCTCCAGGTAAACTGAGTATTAAGTAGAATGTTAATTAAAAAATATATTTTTGCTATATCCCAGTGAGCAGTAAAATCGTATTTCTGACGTTTCGGGACCCAATGTTAGTCAATTCTTCAGAGTAAATGAATAGCCCAGTGATGTAAAAACAAAGCCAATATGAGTGAATATCTCACCGGGATACATCTTTCCACGCTTGTCTATGTTAATGTGAAATTTTTAAGTTTCAAAGCCGGTCTTTACTAATTTCGAGTTATTCTAGAATAAATTTTCGTAAACTATATTTCCTGTACGACGACATGCATTGTTTAACCTTTTATTACTTAAGAATAAATTAATGTCATTATTCAAGGGCCTCAGATTTCTGGGAACAGCTTGGAATATTATTGACATGAGTAAAAAGTAGACTAAGTAAATAATCCCAGAAGCTGCCGACTTAGGCCCAAAATGACATAGCACGAAATTATTAGAAAAGAAATTAGCTCAATCTAGTTACCAATAATCATCAGATTTTTGAAGACCCGGTAGTAAATGTAATACACGAGTGCGGTTGAGTGAACCCATACTTATTAAATGTAATTAGACTGTGGAAAGACATATATTTAAGGATGTGCTAATTAGTTATTTGCTGCAAGATTCTAAAAACGACGTGTAATAACGGACGGTCTATAGACATACACCCCAACTTCAAATTCAGATTAATAAAATATGTTTTCTAGACAGTCATAGAAATTAAAGATTCTGAAAACAGAATGAATAATTTAGGTACGATTGTTGAAATATCCTAATATATCCAAAACTTTGTTGTTTTACCACATGCGCACCGAAGTCAGAAGCCTTTTTTGTTTTTATTGATGTGTTGATATAGCCATTAACTCCTAAGTTAATAAAAGTGATTTGATCGATTACACGTAGTAGATTTAGAGCTCTGTAATTACCCAGCAGGACTACATTTGACGCAATAGAAATCACCTGGAAGGAAACAGTAGATTTACTTCCCTGAACGACTTGGTTGAACTAGAGATAACGGTTTAAAACTTAGGCAGGACCCATTAGTATATGTCCTTGAGAGTAAATGAGCTTTATTGTTTTGACATACACTTAGTTTTTGAGGTCAACTGTTAACCAGTCAACTTAAGTTATTGCACATGTTTGTCTCTATGATCATTTCCTTGTTTTTTCTTTATATGTATCATTTTTTGTTTTGTCAACAGACCTACATACGTCTCTCCTCTTGTCCATTTTATATTTAATACTACCATATTATCTAAAGTCATAATAAATTTGAGATAGACTATTTGATGCCGGTAGAGTTCCGATTGTAATTCCATTTTTTCTTCATGTAACATCTCTGGATATTTGAGGGATTGCCATATTGAAGACCTTATGACTAATTTGTTGTCCAGGTTTATTTTTAATGAAAAAGCCGTAAGTTTGGTGTAGAGAGAAGGGAATACTTTTTTGAATGGGAAATTAAATATAGGTTTTTAACTTCCTCAATAGGAATAACGAATTATATTTAAGTAGATAACATCTGTATTGTGACTTGAACTTTGACTGATTTTTACCCCGTGCCAATTTTTGTGTCCTTGACTGAAAGATTAGAGAGCAGTGTATTATCGATCGAACCAAAGACGCGCAAAACACGTAATAACGACCTAGAGTTCTGATTGGCTCTGCTTCGCTGTTTAGCCCAACCAGTTGAGTCCAGAACGCAAGTCTCAGCTTCTGAGATATGAATCATTGTAATTCAAGCATACTCTGTTTATATACCAAACAAACCGACCACAACGTACCAATAAAATAGGAAATAACATTTGTACAATAATTAGCCAGAAGTGGCTGTGAATGAGGGAGGTAGCGATTAACAGATGGGGAATAATTCATGAATGGTAAATCGTACCAATAGTAGCTCATAGGTCACCATAAAGCCCATAATAAGAGGGGTATGAATATGAAAAGTTTAGTTGCACAACAATTATACGACAAAAAAGTACTCATAATATTGGTCCATAATTGGATCCCAAAAATTACCATTCATTATTCTTATCGGGACACAACAATCTGGGTCAGTTGAATGAATTTTCACGCACTCAACATGTCAGTACGCAATAATCGGTGCAAAATAACAACTTCTCTGTGAACAAGTAATGACTGCGGGAATAATGGAGTGAATATAGTTCGACGTGAAATGCCGCATTTTCTACAAATACGGGATAAACTTTACTTGCTGTTGTAGTTAGACACAAGTGAATCAGTCAGTCTGTTAGACGGAACAAAACATCATTGAGCGTAAGAAGGGACTCCGAAAGAGTCTTTCGGAATGCTTTAGTAGACCTCTCAAAGTGATGTGTTGAATAAAAAACCTGGCATTACATCTATGTACAAATGATAAAACAAAGTTTTCCCAATGCAAACCAGTTCAAGAGACCAATATAACAGTCCATAAAACTTTGATCGTGGTTTGATCAGTAGAAACAGCTCACTATCTAGTGCTCAAAAACCTGATTAGGAGGACATGTGTCACAAAATTCGTTACCCTTCATGACAATGAATACTTAGGCATTTGACGAAGGTGTAACGACCGAACTGCCAGTATTCGGTTTGAACGCAGGACTGACGAACCAAAATTCATTCGAATAGGCCGGATTACGTCCTTCTGTATAGCGTATGATGAGTTCCTGAGATACTCGCATTAAATTGTATCAAAACCCAAACTCTGTGCTCAACTTAAACGGTTCTAATTTAGGAAATAAAACAAATTACATCAAAAATACAAAATACCTCAAAAGGTACAGCCTGTGCTATACAGTCAGAAGTTTCTCTAACGCAAGGTAGCGCGCTAAACGATAAAGGAAACAGTTAAAACCAAAGGATTCCATACGTGAGAATCATTCAAAATATTCCCAACAAAATGGGATCAAAAATACGTCTGCAGGGGTTCCAGCGATCCTCCTAAGCAAACAGTCGAGAGGTTACCAGCCACACACTGAACCACGCCGTGACCATGAGCGTAATCAAACACGGCCTTACCATCAATAGTCCGGCAACATTCAATAGAAAATTAGGTAACAAAAGATAACTCTTTAATCAACATCACATAAAAAAAACTCAGACGAGGTAGACCGAAAATTAAAAGGTGTGGTTCAACGAGATCTGAACAAGGGTTAAAATACACGACAGGGTGAAGAAACAAATAAGTGACTGCACTGTCCAACAAAAATGCTGTGGATGGATTTTCAACGTACTCTTTCCATTACAGAAGGGGACTGCTCACATTCGATAAAATGTCTCGCTTGCTGGTAACATCGTTTCATAAAGGGTATCTCTTGCAACGTATTATCCCCCGCGAACACCTTCAGACACTTCACATGTGCAGTGGGTGTTCAAGTGGTACACATTCCATTAAACCACCGGGAACACTCATTATATTACATTCGTTCCTCATAAATTAGGGAACAATCAGACCGTTGTTACTGATGAATACAGCCTAAAATTGTAAAACAATTTACTTAATAGTTTGCTTTACCTCTAAAATATAGGATTCCGACCACAAAATAGCACAAAGCCTAGTAGACTAGCAGAAAAACGACAAAACTATGACTGATTCTAGATGGTGAGTGAAATTAACTGAAAACACAGTAGACAAACTCCAAAAAATCTGAATTTTAAACAAAATAACGTAAGTTAAACTAGACCAAATATACTTTCGGCCTTATAAACTCACAAAAGTAATGGTGATTGAGAATATGTATGAAAATTACTGCTTCTTTTGAATAGTGTGACAAATTGTCCAAAAATGACTTTGAACTTTGTTTGAAAGTGAATTGTGAATAAGAATGGAGTGATCAATATATTGTTTTCAACTTGGGTTTTTCTCTTAGCTGACTAATAAAAATCGATAGAACTTAATAGAACCGCGACATTTATTGTGTGCGCTACGGCATGGCGCTTAAGGGCATCTCGTTCATGCATAAGTTAGGTAAGTATCTTAATTCTTTTACTGTGCTGTTAAGCTGGTGCCTCAAAGTTCAATTTCAGGAATATTTACACCTCAATATCCCTGTTAAAAGACTACTACAATATACTAGGAGTCAGTAAATCAGCTAGTCAGTCTGAAATAAAGAAAGCTTATTATCAGGTGAGTATCCAAGTACTTCTTTATTGTTTCCAGCTAGCCAAAAAGTACCATCCAGATGTTAATAAGAATGACAAGTCGGCGGCACAAAAGTTCCAGGAAGTTAGTGAGGCATATGAAGTAGGCTTCGCGAACTTCATTCTCACTCAATGTTAGGTTCTAGGAGATGAAAATAAGCGAAGCCAGTATGACAAGTTCGGGTCAGCGTCAACGCAAAACAACTTTGGAGGTGGCCAGTCACAAGGTTTCGAGTTTCACTCTAACATAAACCCTGAGGAATTGTTCCGGCGTATATTTCGTGATAGTGAATTCGTCTTTAACGAATGGTCTACTGGTGATAAAGGCTTTGCAGAATCAATATTTGGATCCGATGCAACTAAGGAGATTCCTGTTAATCTCACTTTTGAACAGGTATGTGTCAGCGTTGGCTAGATAACAAATTACCGGAAGCTCATGGTCGTATTAGACATCCAAACAATTAAACACATTACATTACTGGATTTCCTAAGACATTGAATTTTAGGCATGCTTTTGTAGCTCTACAGCTCCATTAGCCAATTTAATGAGTTTAAGGTGTTAAAAACCACTCTCGCAAATATTAAGTCACAATGCACTTTCAAATGATGCACCAATACTACTCATTCTTGGGTATTTGCTCAAGTTCTGGTGATTGGGGAAGTTATGGTGGCACTCCCTGTGTATAACGTACCATTCTATTCATGTTTATTTTGCGACAAAAATTGCTGGGTATAACATAGGACTAAGAAGCGCACTCTATAAAACAAAATGTCCGTGCTGTGCAAAAGTAAAATTGCAGCAGTTATATAATCATAACATTAACAGCAACATTGAATGGTAGAGTTCGGATATGTAAACAATTAATGTAGATTTTGTTAATGTCAGGAGAAAATCTTACAACATCAAAATTATAAGGCATAAAGGAATGTATTACGAAACCCTAACAACATACTTCCGTCTTCTACCTTAAGAACTTGTTCTATATCTGTGGAGTGACGCGAAATGGTTACTTAAGTACTCAAACGTTTAACCAAAGTACCCAAAAATGGAGATTGATTGTGTTGTGCCACGTTCGTTAGTGTTAACTATCTAACATTAGTTCTTTAGACTCAAAAAGGTGACAAATATGTGATAAAAATTAGTTAAGAATTAACAACTTTCTTTGCTATGACATCCTTTTATCTATTATCGTGAGTTAACATCCATAATATTGTTGTCTATTTCTGGTCATTGTCTGTGTTACTTTGGTCCTCTGTATATTTCTTCCAATATTTCCGGTTCAGAGGATTTTTGTAACAGTTTATGGCACTACATACGTATTAAAGGTTTTCGATTGGTCGTGACGAATCGATTATTCACTTCAAATATTCCAGGTCTTCTAACTTTTTAGACATTCTCTAATCATCTACGATCTCTACGTTTAAACCCATAACTCAATATTACCTAAATATTCCAATTCACAGGCTGCTCGCGGTGTAAATAAAGAGATCAGTGTCAATATGGTGACTAATTGCCCACACTGTCAAGGTTCACGTGCTGAACCTGGGACAGATAAGTCCACTTGCCCAAGTTGTCGTGGAACAGGAACTGAGAACATGAATACTGGACCGTTTTTGCTCCGAAGTGTTTGTAGGCGATGCCATGGCACCGGCACCATCATTCGACATCCTTGTCGAGAATGCGAGGGTAAAGGTAGGATTGTCGGACGTAAACGAGTCAATGTATCCATCCCTGCAGGTAATTGTTGTATATTTTTTCACTACTTTGGGTATTTTCTATTTTCGCTTTTCTTTGTGTGAGAATACACAAACAAAGTCACTTACCTCCACGGACCAATACATTTTTTATTTGTCATTTTCAGTTTTTCATAGATACTATCAGAATGTGTTATTAATCATGTCTATATATATTCAGGGATGTTGAGCTTGTGTTGATAGGTACATGATTTTCTGATTTCGACTGAAGTGAAAAATTCTCATCCGTTGAGAACGAAATTTTTTTGCTTTGTAGTTTGAAGACAGTAGTTTCAGTTTGTAGGTTCAAACACTTCACCAGATTGGAAGCCTGGTAGTCTTACTGTTCCTCACAATCTAAGTTTGGTGCATGAAGCTGCATTTGAGAACGAAGTTAAATTAATATTTGTTCCTTTTCTGAAATCATCCCATATTGGTTTACAGCTTTTAAGTCAACCTTCAGTTATTTCAATTAGGTCTGGGCACCCGGGCAGCATCACAGCCCACACACAAACGGAATGATGAAATGACGATACTTACGGAAAATACTATACTTGCCTCGATAAACAGTCAAACAACTCACATTATTATTATTATTTACTACGTCATTATTCACCCTATTTTATTCCTACTCTGTCTATACTTATTTTTTCGACTTATACAGCAGCTCGTCTGTTGTGGAAATTCGACTGTATCTAAACGTTCTCGAGTCACTGTCCGGTTGGAAATTGTATGTTACCACCGAATATGAGTACTGAAGCAGTTTTTCTGAAACCACGTGCACCATTCAAACTGGCTACCTTCAACGTTCGCACACTTATGCAGGTTGGACAACAGATAGGGCTGCCTATGTCTTTAGAAAGTCTTAATATCGATGTTTGCTGTCTATCCGAGACCCGTATTCAAGACTCTGGTGAAGTACTACAAATTCGCTCTCCATCTGTCCCTTCTGAAAGCTTGTTTTGCGTGCGTTTATCTGGGGACCCTGTGGCATCTTCGTCTGGTCTTGCTGGCGTTGGTGTCTCACTAAGCTCTAAAGCTGAGGCAACACTAATCGATTGGATCCCCATTAACAGTCAGTTGTGTGCCGTTAGATTAAAAATTTCGGCAAGAGAAACTATGTCTTTTTGTCATCTCTCCCTGTGCCCCGACAGATTGCAGCCCGGATGCAATCAAGAATGAATTCTACCACCAGTTAACTGTTCTCCTACAGAAAGTGCGTTCGATAGATATTGTAATACTAGCCGGCGACTTGACTGCTCAGGTTGGGCGTCTAGGCACAACAGAGAGTCGTTTAGGTGACCGATGTGGACTTGTTGATCTCAGGACAGATAACGAGGACCGTCTACTGCAACTGTGCACAGACCACAACCTGTTTCTAGTTAGCACTAACTTTCGCCACAGTCATCGCCGATGTGTCACCCGGCGTCCTCCTTCTGCATCTCAATCCTGGACTCAGATTGATCACATTGCAATCAGCTGCTGCTGGCGTGGTTGTGTACAAGACTGCCGCTACTTTTGGAGTACCTATCTGGACTCTGATCATGCCTTGGTCTGCGCCAATCTTACCTTACTTTTCAGTGGCCAATGAAGTGACCTCCACCAAAGGATTGATGTCAGCAAGTTAGTTGCAACTTCTGTTGCTAGTAAGTATCGAACCAAGCTAGCTTCTAGGCTAGCTACCATTCCACCGAAAAGTATAGATGAGCATTGGTCGCAACTTCACAATGCCATGAAAATGGAGAGTAAAGCCGCTTGCGGCTTCGCGAAACGTCCCGCTTATAAGCGCTGGGTTTCTTCAGGCTCCTTACAACTCATTGAATCCCGCCGGTCTATTCCGGGTGACCGTGAGTTTGATCATAAATGAAGGATGTAACGTAAGGAAATTGGGCAAAGCTTGCGTAAGGATCGATAAGCCTGGTGGTCGGAGCGTAATAATGAGCTGAAAGCAGCAGCTGCATCACGTAATTACCGGGAGCTCTTCCAACTGATCCACCAATGAGGTGGAAGTCCGCAAGAAACTCCAATTCTTGAAGCGCTACGAATCACCTGACCCATATGACTTACTTCCGGCTCTTTTTGAAGATGATGGTGACTTTCTGAATAAGGAACTGACGACGTTGTTTACAAAGGTCTGGAAGCTAGGAAGTGTACCAACGTCATGGAATGAGTCGATAGTTGTCCCTATCTTCAAAAAGGGTTCACATCGTTCCTGTAACAACTATCAAAAACCGAGGAAGATTGACTTGCGAGGAGCAGGCTGATTTTCGTTCTGGCCGATGATGTACTGATCATATCTTCACCCTCCGCCAAATGTCAGAACACCGTCATACTTATCACCTACCAACAATCGTAGTTTTTCTTGACATCAGGGCTGCCTTCTATTCGTTGGACAGGACTGTTCTCTGGGACTGTCTATTGAAAAAGGGTGTACCTGAGAAGTTCATTAACATCTTAAAGGTCCTATATACAAACACCTCAGGTAGAGTGATGGCATACAACCACCTTTCTCCATTGTTCCATTCAAGCAGTTGAGTTAGACAGGGTTGCCCAATCCTACCATTCCTCTTCAACTTTGCCATCGATGACGTTCTGGAAACAGCTCTGATGGATGTAATTAATGGCGGTGTGGATCTGTTGCCTGGAGCAAGACTTCTCGACCTTGAGTATGCGGATGATATTATCTGACTGTGCGACAATGCCTAAACCATGCAATCCGCACTTAATCAGTTGGCAATCAATGTCCGTAGGTACAATATGTGCTTTGCACCTTCGAATTGCAAAGTACTTCTACAAGACTGGCAGGATTCTAATCCTGTACTCACACTGGACGGTAAGCAGATAGAAGTAGTCGAGAAGTTCGTGTATCTAGGTAGCTGCATAAGTGCTGGTGGTGTCGTGAGTGATGAGATCAATGCACGTAAAGTGAAAGACAGAGCGGCTTACGCCAACCAGGGCAATCTTTGGCGCCTTCGTGATGCTAGTCTGGCTGTATAAGTTCGGATCTACAACGCGTCGGTGATAGCAGTTTCGCTCTATGCTTGTGAAACCTGGCCTCTCTGAGTAAAGGATGTCAGACGACTCTGTGTTTGACAATCGCTATCTCTGAAGGATTGCTGACATCCAGTGGCAACACCATGTTAATGATGTGGAGGTTCGGCATCGTGTGTTCGGGCACAGAGACGATAATCCAATTGGTATCACCATCTTAAAACATCGACTTCAGTGGCTTGGACATGTACTACGAATGTCGCCTCAGAGAATTCATCGTCGTGCATTATTTGCCGACGCTGGGACTGGTTGGAAAATGAGGAGAGGTGGTCAGTGTCTGACATGGTGTCGTGGTATGAAAGGAAGCTGCAAAAGGCTGGCTTCTGTTGGTCGTTCATGACTTCCTGGTTGGGGTCCGAGAGATGGTGCGACACAGTGGCTAGCGACGTTATCAGATATGGCTCAGAACAGAAGCCAGTGGCGATCCTGCTGTAAACTTTCACTTTATTCATAAATAAATGGTTCTATCTTCCTTAACTGAAAGAATTATTATCTTTAAGAAGTTGATAAAGCTATAAGAAATCTGAAGCGAAGGAGAGCAGCAGGCCCAGACAGGTTCACTTCTGAGATTTTTAAGTTTCATGGTGCAGTGAGATTAACTGAGGTCTTAGGTGGAATTCGGGAAGTGGAAGTAGTCCCATCTGACTGGTCTCAATCACTGATTGTGCCAGTCCGTAAGAAAGGAAAAAAATTTTCTAGTGACAATCACAGAGGAATAAGTTTGACTAATATAGTGTCTTAAATATTAGCTTCAATAATGCTTATTATGAAAAGGCATTCGACAGTGTAGATAGGAGGACATTATGGAAACTTCTTCGACACTACGGAGTTCCTCAGAAGATTGTCAATATTATCCGGAACTCATACGACGGACTACAGTGCAAAGTAGTGCATGGAGGACAGCTGACAGATGCATTTCAAGTAAGGACTGGAGTCAGACAAGGCTGTTTACTCTCTCCCTTCCTCTTTCTTCTGGTGGTCAACTGGATTATGAAGACCTCGACATCTGAAGGAAAACACGGAATACAATGGACAACTCAGAATCAACTAGACGATTTGGACTTCGCAGACGACCTAGCCCTCCTATCACGTACACACGAACAGATGCAGATGAAGACAGCCAGTGTAGCAGCAGTCTCTGCGTCAGTAGGCCTCAGCATACACAAAGGGAAAACCAAGGTCCTCAAATTCAAGGCGGAGAACAGCAATCCAATCACTCTTGATAGCGAAACTCTGGAAGATGTAGATCCCTTCACATACCTAGGAAGCATCGTCGATGAATAAGAAAGTTCAGATGCAGACGTAAAGGCGAGGATCGGCAAAGCAAGAGTCGCATTCCTACAATTGAAAAACATATGGAACTCAAAACAACTTTCAACCAATATCAAAGTGAGAATCTTCAATACGAACGTCAAGGCAGTTCTACTGTATGGAGCTGAAACTTGGAGAACTACAACAACCACAATCAAGAATGTACAAGTATTTATAAATAGCTGCCTACGCAAGATACTCAACATCCACTGGCCGGATACCATCAGCAATCGCCTTCTGTGGGAGAGAACAAACCAACTTCCAGCTGAAGAGGAAATTAGGAAAAGACGATGGAAATGGATAGGACATACATTACGCAAATCGTCAAACTGCATCACGAGGCAAGCCCTAACTTGGAACTCTGAAGGAAAGCGAAAAAGAGCAAGGCCAAAGAACACATTGCGTCAGATTATAGAAGCAGATATGAAAAGGATGAATTACAACTGGACGGAGCTGGAAAGGATTGCCCAGGACAGGGTTGAATGGAGAATGCTGGTGAGTGGCCTATGCTCCTTCACGAGGAGTAACAGGCGTAAGTAAGTCAATAATACTTCGACGCCTAACTAAAGCTCATAAAGAGCAAACTAGAGGAAATCAGATTGGTTTGCGACCTGGACGTGATTGTATAGACAAGACATTCACACTACGTCAGGTTCTAGAACACAGACACACATTCGGACGCCCCACAATCGTAGTATTTCTCGACCTTAAGGAGGCATTTGGCTCTGTTGATCGTGAGGTTCTATGGCAGTGTTTGTCACTGAAAGGAGTACTAAGGAAGTACATTAACCTTGTAAAGGCTCTCTACTCGAACACAACTGGACGAGTGAGAATTTATGGCGAACTGTCATCAGAATTGATTACCTCAAGTGGTGTTCGTCAGGGCTGTCCACTCTATCTATTCTTGTTTAACTTTGTCGTTGACGTGCTTTTACAGATAACACTCTACTCATCTAAATTTCCAGGGGTTGAACTTCTACTAGGAGGTTCACTTTTTGACCTACAATATACCGATGGCATAGTTCTATTTGGTGAAGACACTGACGAAATACAGTCTTCTGACCACTATAAGCAACAATGCAAGCATGTTCGGCATGCGATTCTCTCCCTCGAAATGCAAAATGTTACTTCAGGATTGGGTTGCATCGACACTTAAACTAATGATAGGGAGTGATGTAGTTGAGCGTGTCGACCGCTTCACTTATCTTGGAAGTCTCATCAGCTCTTGTGGTCTGGTGTGTGACGAAATCTCAGCACGGATACAGAAGACTCGACTAGCTTTTGCCAACTTGCGCCATTTATGGCGTAGGCGAGATATCCGTCTATCAACCAAAGGACGTGTTTACTGCTCAGCAGTTCGTTCCGTCCTACTTCATGGCAGTGAAACATGACCAGTAAGACAGAGGATATTCATAGGTTACTAGTGTTCGATCATAGGTGTCATCGAAACATTGCTCGTATATCCTGGGACCATCGAGTAAGTAACTCAGTTGTTAGGAAACGGGTACTAGGTAAGGATGGCAAATCAATTGATGAAGTAATGAAACTTCATCAGTTGAGATGGCTGGGACACGTGTTACGTGTGTCCGACCACCGACTGCCTCGACGTGCGATGTTCAATGGTATAGGAGTAGGTTGAAAGAAAGCTAGGAGCGGCAAGACCAAAACATGGCATAGGTCCATGAAGTCACTGACAAGTGGACTGAGCCATGTTGGTAGGTGTAGACTACCTGGTTGGGGACCGCGAGATGATAGCAACCGATGGTGGTTAGAGACCTTGAATGACATGGCTCAAAATGGTTTACGATGGCACAGGTGCATCCACTCTTTGTGTGCTCCCAAATTCTAATCTTCTGAATTCTTCATGTCCCTTTTTTTATCTTTCCAAATTTATTTCACTGGATTATACTCCTTGAATAACATCTTTAAACCCTAATCATTCCGATTACTGCTTATACTGTTACCACCCCTACCACTACGGGATTTGAATGGACAGCTGCATCTCTGTGCCAATGTGGTGTGGCAACTCGGACTGATGTACGTACATACGTACGAAGTTCTACGTTGTTACTGACTGACTGACTAATTCCCTCATGTTTTATATTCATGCCTTTAGGGGTAGAAGACGGTCAAGTTTTGCGAATGTCTGTTGGTAATGACGGTCTGCATAATAACGAAATATTTCTGCAAATTCGTGTGGAGAAAAGTCGCTATTTTCGTCGTGAAGGTGCAGACATACATTCAGACATCACGGTTTCACTTTCCCAAGCTGCTTTAGGTGGTAAAATACGCGTACAGGGAATTTATGAAAATATGCTAGTCACTGTAAGTAAATTGTAATTTCTAAAACATCTTGTTTACTATCCCATTCATCCTCATTTAGCTGACACCATGAAATGGAACTTATTCCAAACTTATAACTTATATTTGTCTTTATGAGATCATTAGCATAGTATATATTTTGTCACAATATGACATGTGGAAGTTTGTCACAATACTGGATAACTGTATCGTGATGAAAAGGAAGAGAGCATATCATATAATAACAAAATGATGAGTATTGATTTGCACAGTCTAGTTTAAACAAATATTTCGTTCATTTCAAAGAAGCATTTCTTCGTTCACTAAGTACGGTAAAACCACTAAATGCACTATTCAGGGCGCGCGTTTACTGGCACTCGTTAACTGTGTATACCTGTATCTCAGTTGATGTTCAGTCGTGGATTCCAACATAGTACCTTTTGCTTCAAACGTCATTGCGTTATACTTTTAGCTTTTGAGTCCGAATAGCTACTCATTCGTGCAGTGGGTGCAAACTTTGATGTAATTTGTAGTGATCATTTTAGGGGTTGTGGAGATTGTTAAGCTTTTGATTGAGATCATGAACCGATTGATGTTAGACTACCATTGAAAACCTGGAAGCACTGGAAAGCCGTTCCGTCCTATTGTGGGACTCCTCAGCAGTGCGCACCCACGATCCCGCTCGTGGGATTCGAACCCAGGGCCTTCAGTATTGCGTGCGAGCGCTTAACCTACTGGACCATTGAGCCGGTATCCAACGGTGTTAATGTCTAACCTCGACCAATCCACGAAGTTGTGCGACCATCTTCCATTGTACTGAGGTAGATACTTGTCTCTACCCCTACCCTTCCTGTTTTTGGTGTCCCACTACTGTCAGTGTTCTTATTTCAATTGTGTGATTATTGTAACCATTAGTTAGAGACTTTGAGTGGCATAACTCGAAGTCTTTCTTAATGACGTCGATGCATCCACTCTGTTTCCGAATTCCTCATAATTTTCTTTATTTCACTAATTTATATTTTACTCCCCTTAGGTCCTAAGTTTATAAATCCCTCATGATCTTTTTATTCCACTAATTTATATTTTTTGAATTGTATTTTCACTGCTTAACTTTTATATTACTACTAACTCTGTTACTACCTCTACTACTTTGAGATTTGCCCTGACAATTTCATCTCGCTGTGCTAATGCATTATGGTACTTTGAACTTATGTACATACGTACCAGATTTCGCGTTGTGTTTGACTGACTGGCTAACCTCAATTATGCAACTGAGAGCGATACAACTTTGTCTCATGTCTTCTGTTTTTGATAAATTCATACTGTTATATACTATAAGGAAAATCTAACTCAGTCGTCACTGCATGCACTTCTGAACCATATTTGGTAATAATAATCTGATCATTTACATATTCATTCCTAGATTCCGGCTGGATCATGCAGTAATGATAGAATTCGGTTGCCAGGTAAAGGGATTAGTCGAATCAATGGATATGGATATGGGGATCATTATATACATATTCATATTCAAGCTCCTAAGTAAGTTCCAAACTGTTGCATAAATAATCACACTACTTCAATATTAGTAAACTAAAATGATAAACAATTAGTTATGCGTTGTTTTATCATAAAACTACGCAACATTTTGTGGAAGTCATGATGAGTTGCGTAAGGGCAAATTAATATTTTATGTCAGACTGTCTTTATTCAACCAATCATTGAAAACCAGTAAGTACTGTTTGTTTGATCTTATTAAGGAACTCCTCAACAGTCTTGATCCAACAACCTACTAGGGATCGAACCCATGACCTTCTAGCCTCGTAGCAAGCGTTTCATCTGGAAACCACTGATTTCACATTCCTAACTGCAGTCACCTCAAGATATCAGGTAACCATCATCCATTGCCGTTGGTGGTAGATCATTTAATTCTCAATTTACATCACGGATTCAACCGTTTTCCTAACTGTTCTATACAAATAAAAATAAAAATTAAATTTTTTCTATAAGAAACCATCCAACTAAATGATCTTCAGTAAAAACGAGTATTCAAAAACTACTTCGATTACACTCTTAAATCAGTGCCATCATTTATGTTTTACTTAGTTGAACTTACTGAATGCAGTTGGTGTACTAATCAACCATGTGATTTTTGATTCAATTACAAAATGTTATATTTGCTTCATTCCTTACCAACGAAATACTGCAGTGAAATATTTTTCTAGCTCTCTCATTTTCTGTAGCTGTTATTAAATAAAATTACCATAAAATTACCGTTTTGAAGTTGCTAAATTTTCAACAATATTTTACATGTCTGTTTTTATTTTTGGTTCAAAATTTTATTAAATATTCACTTTAGTGATAACAGAGCGTACAGTTGATACTTTTTGAAGCTACTCAACTTCTTCAATACTTTATTCAGTTGTGTTTACTACTGTTACTCTGTCAGATATTATTCGCAGATATGGTGTCCATTCATCAGTGAACCAATGTTCGATATATTCAGTCAGTCAGTCAGTAACAACGTAGAACTTCGTACGTATGTACGTACATCAGTCCGAGTTGCCACACCACATTGGCACAGAGATGCAGCTGTCCATTCAAATCCCGTAGTGGTAGGGGTGGTAACAGTATAAGCAGTAATCGGAATGATTAGGGTTTAAAGATGTTATTCAAGGAGTATAATCCAGTGAAATAAATTTGGAAAGATAAAAAAAGGGACATGAAGAATTCAGAAGATTAGAATTTGGGAGCACACAAAGAGTGGATGCACCTGTGCCATCGTAAACCATTTTGAGCCATGTCATTCAAGGTCTCTAACCACCATCGGTTGCTATCATCTCGCGGTCCCCAACCAGGTAGTCTACACCTACCAACATGGCTCAGTCCACTTGTCAGTGACTTCATGGACCTATGCCATGTTTTGGTCTTGCCGCTCCTAGCTTTCTTTCAACCTACTCCTATACCATTGAACATCGCACGTCGAGGCAGTCGGTGGTCGGACACACGTAACACGTGTCCCAGCCATCTCAACTGATGAAGTTTCATTACTTCATCAATTGATTTGCCATCCTTACCTAGTACCCGTTTCCTAACAACTGAGTTACTTACTCGATGGTCCCAGGATATACGAGCAATGTTTCGATGACACCTATGATCGAACACTAGTAACCTATGAATATCCTCTGTCTTACTGGTCATGTTTCACTGCCATGAAGTAGGACGGAACGAACTGCTGAGCAGTAAACACGTCCTTTGGTTGATAGACGGATATCTCGCCTACGCCATAAATGCGCAAGTTGGCAAAAGCTAGTCGAGTCTTCTGTATCCGTGCTGAGATTTCGTCACACACCAGACCACAAGAGCTGATGAGACTTCCAAGATAAGTGAAGCGGTCGACACGCTCAACTACATCACTCCCTATCATTAGTTTAAGTGTCGATGCAACCCAATCCTGAAGTAACATTTTGCATTTCGAGGGAGAGAATCGCATGCCGAACATGCTTGCATTGTTGCTTATAGTGGTCAGAAGACTGTATTTCGTCAGTGTCTTCACCAAATAGAACTATGCCATCGGTATATTGTAGGTCAAAAAGTGAACCTCCTAGTAGAAGTTCAACCCCTGGAAATTTAGATGAGTAGAGTGTTATCTGTAAAAGCACGTCAACGACAAAGTTAAACAAGAATAGATAGAGTGGACAGCCCTGACGAACACCACTTGAGGTAATCAATTCTGATGACAGTTCGCCATAAATTCTCACTCGTCCAGTTGTGTTCGAGTAGAGAGCCTTTACAAGGTTAATGTACTTCCTTAGTACTCCTTTCAGTGACAAACACTGCCATAGAACCTCACGATCAACAGAGCCAAATGCCTCCTTAAGGTCGAGAAATACTACGATTGTGGGGCGTCCGAATGTGTGTCTGTGTTCTAGAACCTGACGTAATGTGAATATCTGGTCTATTCAAGGTCTATACAAGGAAGCAAGTTGTCCTATTTGGCACAGTGTTCGGAAATTATAAGCTCATACGTGTACTTTAGAGCGTGGTTTCAGGAGACCAGGGATAACGTTCTGCGTAGTCGAATCGTTTGCCCTAGCGATACGAGGTGATAAAGAGACGTGAGAAGAGTTAGTCTTTTAGATAAGAAAGGTGTTAGGAGGTGTAGGAAGGATTTGAATGTGACCAACTTGGTCTCGTGTGCTGTTACGGTATGAGGGCTAATATCTCTTCTCGGCTGCCCACACTGTGGAAAGGTATTTCTTGTGGAGCCTGAAAACGAATTTGGATTAATGTTGGCTTTAACGACCTGGAGGCGTGACCGCAGAGCCCAAAGATCAACTACTTGAGGCCGGTCGCGGACGGCCGTTTTGTGGGAGGTTTTTGACGTGTTAGCTCCGTTCTTCAAAAGGCCTTATCGCCGTAGATGGAAATCGTGAGGTAAGATGAGGTGTGACATTTTTAGGGTCGACCTTTTCTATCCCCTTCCTTCCTTGTGAGAAGGCAGCATCGCTGCAGATGCTGGTTGTCCAAGGGAAACACCTTACTGATGTCACACCCCTCTAAAATCAGCAGTACGACCTCGCCCTCAGACCTTGAGTTGCTGCTTTTAGTCTTACCGTTCTCCAATCGACCTGCCTGACATGGTAGAACATACCGGAACATATATTCCAGCCAATATAGCTCGGTTGGGTCATCACGATGGACAAGCCCGACCACCGCGTCAAGGTAGCAGCTACGGTCGGGAATTAAAATATTAGTTATGATTATTTTATTTGAACACATAAATATTGGTACAAGGGGGCACCAAATATATATATATATTCAATGGTTATGTGAAAGACATCGTGACATAAATCTTTGTTACCAAAATAAAAGTATTATTAAATTAAAATTTTTAATAAATTTGGTTTTCCTTTTCAGATTTTCCGTTTAGGAATTCTTAAGTTACAAATGGTATTTACTTCATAAAATTCATATTACTATTAACATTTACAAAACTCATGTATTCGTCACTTGTCTTGAGTTTGTTCTCGATTTTTGTTGTCTGATACGAACAATCAGGTAGCTTTTAAATGTCTTAAGTTCAAGTTTTCGTATGTAAATGGTAGTTCAGCTGGGCTGTACCATATTCTTTTTTGTTCATTTCCTTGATATGTTTTACTTTAGTTTAATTAAATCGTAGTTATAAGTGTACCTTAGTATGGAGTAGTGCAAAACGTTCTATATACATATTGCAACATAATTTAGCTTAGACACATTAACCTCTATGACTTTATATCTATCGGTTCTTGTAGGAAACTAACTGATCTTCAACGCGCGCTTCTCCTAGCCTATGCCGAGACAGAAAATAACGTGACTGGTTCAGTTGAAGGCGTAACGTCGACCGACAAACGTGAGTTATGTGATTTAGATTACACTTCATTATGCTATGCATGTATGCTTTTAGTTAGTTTTGAAACTCAGTTGCACTTTTGTAGGCCATGATAAAACAAGTAAGTTTTGTCGGTGAATTTTTACATTGTGTTACTAACTTTCATGTAAAAAACATTGTGTCTTTGGTTTGTAATCATAAAATTCGTTAGAATAACATTCCATACTTTTCCAGTTGACCATAAATTTCATTGTTGCTAAAAACTTAATTTCTAATATGTTATAATGGTTGGCTACTTCTCGTAATATAGTATTTATAGTTTTCAACACCACTTTTGATTTGATCGAGCATCATAATAATTATATGCCTCGTAACTCTTTGATTACTATATCTGCCATTTCATTACCTTCAAGATATGTTTCGGTGAACCCGAATTATTCTTAATACATTCATTTACCATAAAAATGATATGGTACACAGCTTCCAAACCGTTGTTTACCAGGGAGATGCTAAGTTTCATTTGTTTTTAAGTTCTATGAGTTGCTTCATTTTATAAACACTAATTTCACTTCTAATATATATGTATATATCCGAGAAAGTTATCATTTACTGAATTATAGATGCATTTTTTTCCGAATACTATCGTTCGCCTTAATATTATCGTCAGTTTGGCTGATTAAAGTCCTAATTTCTGTATAAAAATCTGTAAATTTTATAATTCCCATTGTAGTCTTTTTTGTTTCATACTAAGAAAATTGAATTCATTTCCGTGGAAATTAACTTATTTTGTTTGCTATAGACTACTAGTAAAAGTTTATTTATCCTTTAGTCTTCGTTAACATATTTTATTCAAAATTATTTTAAAAATATAACTACTTATTTAGCTAAAAAATCATGGTTAATTATTACTCATTTTAAATTCGTTAAGTATTGATACGATTGTTTATTCAAATAGTTGAAATCTTAAATATATATTGTATTGTCACTTTAAAGATAAACGTAATCTATCTCGTATAAATGCCATGAGATTAATTTTTGTATATTAAGTTTTATATTAATTTAAAAGGTGATGTTACTATTGCATATCTTAAACCAAGTTCTTCTTAGAAAGAATAATAAATATATTTTTTGTATTATCCCAATCAGTAGGATTATTTTATAAACTTTAGAGAATAATTTGATATGAAGTGTAATTTCGAGTTTCACGAATTATAATTATCGTTAATAGATAAACATAGTAATACTCTTAATAGACAATATCTAGTGTACATTGAGATTAATTATTTCATGAGAACGGTGTTGTGTATGACATTATCATATCAATTGTTTTATTATCTGTGATTATACAGATTTAATCTTTAGATAATAATATGAAATTCTATTGTGTTACGCAGTCGTACGTATCTGATACTGATATATAATCTTCCGATAAGTGGGTGTAACTAAATACTTGAGTGAGAAAACGAGGAGTAAATAAGAAACCTTTACAGTTAGGATCAAGATATATCCACAAATTCACTAATTAATGTAGTTATGTATGCCTTAGAAAATCAAGTTAAATTTTCAATCCAGAGCGTATCTGTTTCCCTCGGATAATCAGGCCAAATATTGACCAATAGCATGCATACCTGACCATTTCTTACTTGTCATTTAGCCCTAAACCGATTTGTTTGAATGACCCAACCTATCAAATTCACTCTATTTGCCACACAAACAGTTATTTAATGTTGTTTTTTATTAGTCAAGTATACATTAACTTCCATGCGCATTTAGTTTATGTTAGAGTATCAATCTACCCCCCCCATAGTTATTAAAATAGATTTTCAGTAGTTATTAATGCACACTTTCAGGTCCGTTGTTATGTGATGACATTTATTTGGCTTCAAATAATTCCTTAAATCTTTTTTTAATACGTTTAATAGTGATATGGTGGCTTAGTAGTTCAACTGTAGATTTTGAACTGTGATGCATCTGCTTTCGTTCGAGAATCTGACTAGTTTAACTACAGTTCGAATTGTAGCTCAAACCTGGGTACATGAATACATATTTAAGTTATTAACATACATTAGCTAGCTTACACCATTTCTGTGACTACGCAGTAGTTTGTGGATAATTATAACGTTTCACAACTCATCTCCCCATTTACACCACCTCAGCCGAATTTGAGCTCTATCAACTGTATTCAGGAATTGATTTGTGTTTCTACACAGAACATAACTCAGAAATACGCACAGAATATAAGTTGATGGTTTCATAAATTTTTATAATATCTTGATCTGGAAGAATGTAATCCTTGTTTTCTCGCCTTACTCTCTTCTAGCATAGTCCAGTGATTCCACTCTTTGTTTGAGGAAGAATATCAATTATCTGTTGCCTTCACATGTTTCAAAGCGACTAGTTACCATCAATTTCATTTAAGATATAACCACATAATGATACCTTGACCCAGACTTCGGAATCAACTGACATCTCAGCTATCCTACTGTCAGAGAGGCTAACAGATAGTTACATAATGTTTCTCAGGATTCTCTCCCTAGTATTTCACTCCGAATAAATGAGACTGTCACTATTTGTAATCCGTCAACACATTCCAAAATCATACTGTAACGCTAAACGTGATGCGTCCATAAAACATCTTTTAATCACACTTTGATTTCATTAGGAGTCTATTCATGGGTTACTACTTCCCTGGAACATTGATAGACATGTTTTTGTGCATAGATTTACTTCAGTTTAAACAATCAGGTAGTATCATTTGACCTCAGACATTGAAATTGTGACTCCAAGCTGAGTATATGTCTGTACTTGGTGGGCTTGCTACGTTGATTAATTTTTATAAATCTATTGTTGAAGTAAAATAAATCCGAATGATTACCCACATTTTAAACTGATACGACAGTTTGAAGATTATCTTGATTTTGTTGATATTAAACAAAGACGTGAATCTTCGTTTTTAAATTCTATAGAAATGACTGACACTGACACGGGTCATAGAAACATTTTACACTGGCTCAAGTTGCCAGTTCTGTTTTCATTACTATTGTCCTCGTGTTTCAAATAAAAAAAACCGCTGGTTTAATGATTTTACTCATCAATTTCATTTTTGGATCAAAGTGTTTCTTATCCTTTGCAACTTAAGGGAATATATCAAAGTCCTATCTATTTAGACAGAAGTCTTAATTTGTATGGCATTACCACGGCTAAAATTGAGTCATTAGGTGTTCCTAAATTTTATATATATTTTCCTTTTTGCTATTTTAAACCATATACCTCATTCCTCACGATTTGTTTTTTGATATCAGATTTCATACTAACTAGACCTGTCAGTAAGTGGTAGATTATCTCACTCTTGACTCTGAATTTCAGTTTGTACATGGTCTAAATTTTAAACTCAATTAGGTAGCGCTTTGAGTAAACTTGTAGAACAAAACCTTTAATGATGAGTTCAAATTTCGGTCTTACGAGCTACAATTACATTCAGTTCGTACAATAAAACATGTATATTTTTGGCAACTATTTTTCTTGGTTACAGGTTAGTGTTATCAATGAATTTGAAACAAACAAATTACGTTTGTCTTAGAATTATTCATAACACATCCTTGTAAATTTATGTGTTTTATCCCTTGTTTATTAATCCTTAAAAATGACTTCGGTTCGTGTTAGAACCTATCACCTTAGCATTCGTATGTTTTTACAACTGTAAATATAGCAAAGTTGAACAAAACCTCTCTTATTTCTCCGTTCGCTAAATACTCTTACAGGGTATATTTATTTCACCTAGGTTAGTTTGTTTATTGGTCACAACAAGTAGGATTTTCTGCTCGTAAACGTTCTAAATGATTTATCACTCATATTTCTTAGGTCTTCGCCAACTATACGGAAACTTACGAGACACGTTTGGCCGAAACTGGGAAACACAATCGAGAGAAACGTCTGACTTGCATTCGAACAATCAGGTTGATAGTAGGGAGGAGACGGAATCATCCGGTGTTTTGGGTCGAATAACTAACGGTCTCAAATGGTTATGTGATACGACCTTAAAGAGTTTGAGAAAATAGGTATGGTTATTTTATCACGTTTAAGTACCTTCGTTCGTAGTCGTATTGCCCACTAGATTTTTACACATTAGGCTGCTAATTTTCTGGCTCTATGCATTCGATGATAATTCATGCACGATATGAATAGTTTCAATCCTTCGTCATTCATCACCTATGTGCAGTAGAAAAGTGCCTCCACTTTCCTACAGCATAGCCTACAAAGTAAGACAAGTTATCACTTATTTAAAGCTTATAAACTTTTGAAATGCGACAGGCATTTTACACCTATCTTTTATGGGCCTCGAGTTAAAATCCTCCACAGCTATCCCGTATTCAGTTGGGAGATTGTAATTCTAACATGTTCTTTTTAAGTAGCTTAACTGCAGGATTATAAATCTTAATTGGCCTAGTGAATTGCATTTATATAATAATTTTCATATCCTAAATCTGCATGTCGATAGTTATAATTTCCTTCTAATGGCATACTGTATGATTTTTAGTTTTTTTAAAAGTTTTTATTGATCGGTATGAATCGATATTGATAGCCATTTCCCGTCAATCTACTTTTCACAAATCTAACAAATCACTGATAAAATAAATAAAAAAAACCGAGTTTGCCTTAGGACAACCAAGTACTAAAACCTTAAATAATAAAATAAAATCCAAACTCATCTCCATTTGTATGGAAATTAAATAATTAGACTGAATTTCCATGTAGCATTAATTTGTCTTTTTTAATATTATTTCCTCGCTGAATTAAAATAGTCATAAGAATGTTTTATGCTTGATTTTGTCAGATATTTTTATTCTTGGCGAGTAACTTCTTAAACAATAGACAATAATTTCATACCCTTTTGTACTCAGCGGCCATTTCATATCATTGAACAGCTATTTCGTCCTAGTATGGTACTCATCAACATTGCACGTCCACAACCCTACCGGGTATTAAGCCTCAGGACCTGATCTAGTCGCGGGCGCTTAACCTCTAAGCAACTTAATCAACATCTAATGGTTAATGCGTCCAGTTTGAAACATTTCGCTATACTGAGAAGCCATCTTCCATTGTCTTCAGTGGGTAACAGCTTTCTTGTTTCTAGTGCTTGTCTAACTCTGGTTGATTCGCGATCTCAGTAACTTTCGTTAGTCTCCAAAAATCCCTATACTGATAATAATCTTATCCCCACTAGCGACTGGTTTTCAGAGGTAATTACTAGAGTTCTTACGGGAAACCGTGAACAGTGGTGTTTAACCATGTCATGTATAACGCAGTTCCCCTCCAAAGAAAATAGTTGCCTATTGTCGTAAATTGATTAAAGCTGAACGTGTTAACCTTTCGACACCTGTTCAGTGATCTAAAGGTTAAGTACTCACCGTTAGACCTCAAGGTCTCTTCTCATGTACGGTCGTGGATGAGGGCTATTGAGTTGTCCCATACTAGTTTTAAGAATCAAACAGACTTTTTTTCTCTTCGATATTCTAATAATTGTTACTTTTTTGAAAGGACTAATGATTTCTCTTAAATTACCGAGATCAGTCTAATTTAAAATTTCATCATTTCTATTGTCTTTTAATCACCGTCGTGATTCTGTAATTGAATGTTGCGTAATCTTGATGACTTGTATACTTCTTGTAGCGATATTGCTTATGGCAGAAGTACTTTCTGTTTTTTTTCCAAGTGACAAGATAAGAATTATTTTTTGGAACGGAGCGTATTGTGCATGCTTATTTTCTCACTTATATTTTGACATTGATTTGAGTGTGTAAAATCAGAAATTGGATAATATGTTAAATAAACTCATTACTAAACGATACTTCCGTATGTAAAGAGAAAATTTAAGCAACAAATTTAGCTGTGAATGATAAGAAAGTAGTTTTTAACTAGGAGAATAATTGATTAATAGATCCTTATTAAGGTAAGCTGTTTCAAACATTTAAATTATTACAAACATGTCTGGTAATACCGTTTAAAGTGAATAAACTATGTGAAGTATTGTTTTGGAAAATAAAGAATTTGGAATTTGACTTATATCCAAGATAAAAATACTACTGAACGTTCATTTATATTGGTATTTAATAAAAGATTACAATTTTTAATCAACTTCATAAGATCAGGTAATGTATTTCTGTCGTAGAAATGTTTTTCGAAATAGTCGTTTATCATATCATTCAGACTGTACTGAATAAATGATTTACACTTTCCTTGGTACCCAAACTTCTCGTCCGTTAACAATCGTCATGTCCCACTAGGCTTCTCATTATTATTCGGGTTTTATCTATGAAATTCTATTACGTACTAAAACAGATGTACTTATTTATTTTCATAACCGTTCTATAGTATACGGCTGTGGTTTAATATCGATAATCCTAAGAAAATAATTGTACTTTATGAAAGACTTAAATTGTATTAGTGTTTGCTTTATGTATAGAAAATTTTACCTGTTTTAAAACACTACAAGATACTTTTTTCGTGTTCCCATTTAATAATATTTTATTACAATATTTTTAAATTGCATAGATGGTAAGCGTGCCATAGACACTACACCGGGCTTTATTCTCTCTCGTATTCGACTAGCTATTCAAGATCCAAATGAACCTCAAGAAGAAGCCAAGTCTCAAGAAATTGATTCAGATACTGTAGTGAAAAATTCTAGTAAAGATTGTGTGTAGTAGTTTTTTGCAAATTCATCTTTTCATCTATAATTACATCGAATTCTCCTTGGTTATCATGCTTTAGGCAGTATTCATTCGTGACCCACTTTTATTTGCAATTTTTTGTACATCTGTAATATATATTATAGTGCCAAATATCTGATATTCTGTTTTTATTTTTTTGTTTCATTTTGAATTACCTGCTGATTATTGTTTGAATTAATGTTTAGTTCGTGAATATGCAGTAAAACATCAGTTTTTGTTTGAGAATATGCTTTCTAGATTAACTGTCATTTTCGGTGTGCTTATATACACATTTTGATCAAATGTTTTATGATAGTGAGATTGTAAAGAAATGAAACACTTCTTTAACCATTAGTTGCGTCATTTTGTAATTCCAAAACTTCTGAGAGTTGATGTTCTTATTAAAATGCATTTCTAACAGTTCTACTATACATAATGTTTACCTATTTAGATATGCATTTTTGAATCATCCCTAACCGAAATTTATAAATTAATTTTATCATTAATACATTCACGTTAAATTGCTTCAGATGTTGTAAGACTACGTAATTAAAGCTCATGTCATGAAAAGCCATGGAATAATACAACTCCAGCAGCTAAGAAATATTAAAGTTTTTCTAGTGGAATACCTCAGACTTGTCACATATATGTACGGTCCATTGACGGTCAGTACGTGTATCTGCGAGTCAGTGACTTCATTTTAATTATATCTAGGTGTTCGTTATGGAAACGTTTTAGAACTTGGTGTCTAAGAGTTCTAGGTATAACAATCCGGTGATCAAATATGATGCACAAATCGACAATCGTTAGATAGTTTCGCCGACGCATGTATTGTAATAGCTCTTCATGGTGTCAAGGTGTAAGTCACTTGTTGAATATACAACGGCCAACAATCTTCACCATATTATCCTTTTCACTAGCTTCATTATTAGCTTCGAATGTAACCGGCAGACCCGAAAATGCGTCGGTCAACACCGTGCGATCTCCGACCTCAACTTCCACGGCAGCTACAAACACTTCTTCATATTTTGTGTAAGATGCCAATTGATCTTGAGAAAGCATATGCTTGTTCGTATCCGTTGTCGGTCGATACTCTATCCTGAAATCCTAATCTGGCAATGTAGTTACACATCGCTGTTGACAGTTTGCTGTATAAATAGGTAATACCTTTTGGGGTCTGTTAGTAATGTAAATTGTCAGCCGAATAGCATGTTGCGGAAATTTTTCACAAGGAAGGGCCTTTTTTCAAACTATATTTCCTTTCTTTTGTTGTCAGTAATAGTGAAGTATGGGTAATCGTTTTCTCAAATCCACCTAGGTAGGCGTTTGGGGTCACTGCTCCGATTCCGTAATTTGGCGCATCTGCTGCTACCATAACGGGAAGGGCTAGTGTTGTAACGTGTGAGACTGCAGGTTTTGATAAACAGCGTTTTATCGATCGATCACAGTAACACGGAAAACACGTATGGACGACCTAGTGCCCTAATTGGCCCTGCTTCGCAGTCTGTCCCAGCCAGTTGAGTCTAGAACACAAGTCACAGCCTCTGAGTTATGAATCATTATATTTCAAACACTCTGTTTATATACTAAACAAGCAGACCACATCGTACGATAAAATAAGAAATAACATTGTACAATATTTAACGAATGAATTAAATAATAGCAAATAGGGAATGTACATTTAAAGTCCAAGGCCACCATAGACTTAACACGATAATTATTGGTACATTCCTCTGCATACCTAACAGCTAGAATATAATACGTAAGCAGGTTTGACGATAGGAGCTGTTTTAGTTGACATTCTGTTGGCTAGATCCATTCATTATTCTCCGTTAGTAAACAATTCAGCAGGGCACGTAATTCTGGAAGAAAGACACCACGGTGGCTAACCATTCTCGGGAAGGAACGTAAAGTTGACAAATCTGTCGATGGAAGCATAGTCTTGATAACTTCGATGTTTTTTGTATCAGTTTTTCTTACGTTTTTGTCAAATAAGGTTACCAAGTAGCACACATCCTTCATGTGAAATTTACATTTCTCAGCACGTAATCTGAATCCATAAACTGCTATGAGTCTGATGACCTCATCCATCTCTTAATCATCGTAATTCGTACAGACAGGTATGGTAAATTAGTAGATACAATCTATACTAGCTCTTTCTGTTGGAGGGAGAAAATGCAACGATAAAGTAAAATGAGTCGTGATATTTCATAAGGTGAATTAAGTTCAAATAATCGAAGGGAAGTCAAATTTAGAATAAGAAGGGCTGTTTATTAGAACAGAAAGTGCATCAAGACAGTAGTGTTAAAAACGATTAACTTATTTTTCATTGTCCGATTTATTTTTTCCAGTTTTTTTTTCATCTGATGCGAGCTACCCAGCTCTAATGTAAAAGTGCGAGTTAGCATATTATAGTTTGTCTTTGTAGAATAGCTAATCCAGCATAAAATTGGAAGCCTGGGTCTGAATGGTGGACGTATCACGGATTGATTGACTTGTTCTCAATCATAAAGTTACTGATACAAACAAAATGTTCTTCCCTCCCAAACATGGGTGGATTGAAGTCATCACTGGTCTGTAACTTACTAAGCAGTTACAAATTATGGACTATGAGTACGGCATCGATGCAATGCTTTAATTGACCATCGTATAAAGTATAGTTTCCCAATCAGATTATAGGCATCAAGAAGGGTATAATGTAAGATAATTGTCTACCAAAGTAGGAGGAAAAGTATAGAAATATATGAGTTATATACAAGGTAACGACTGGTGAAATAAAATAATGGCAAATCAACATAGTGTTCTGGAGAGTAAAGAGCTGATAAAAAAAATACCCAAAAGGGGTCTCGCATTAACTTGGTGTTGATGTTATCTTGTGCTATCCCAACCGGTTAGTGGGTTATAGGCCCCGCAGTTGCGAGTCCACTGGTCGCTGGCAGTCAATTGTGCGGTTCTCTTTACTTTTTAGGGTAGTAGTGCGCGTCACTTAGCATCGTTAGGTCCAGTCAGTTGTCTGTCTACTTCAAGTAAAAAATTAAGGAGGGAGCTGAGCCTAATGGTCTATACGTGGAAAGAACCTATGTTGTCTGGGTGGAACGTAGATGTGTTCAATCGTGCTAGATCAGTGCAAGCTAGGGATTGATTGAGAAGTCTTACAAACCTATGTAATTCATCTGCCATACGTATTTCAGAGGGAAGACTGTTCCATATAAATGCATACTTTATGAAGAAGTTTTCCCGAGATTTTGAATTGTATTCCTCTACTGTGACTGTAGATGCTTTGTCTCGAAGTTCGTATTCACGTGAGTCTTGGTCAATTACTATATCCCCGACCGTTGTTGCTAACTTGACGTGGTGGTCGAGCTTGCCTATCGTGATGAAGCAACCGAGCTATACTGGCTGGAACAACCGTTCCTCAAGGTCCTACCATGTCAGACAGGTCGGTTGAAGAGCGGTAAGACTAAAAGCAACAAACCCAAGGTCCGAAGGCGAAGTCGTACTGCTGACTGTACAGAGGTGTGACAGCAGTAAGGTGTTTCCTTCAGACAACCAGCATGACAGCGATGCTGCCTTCCCACAAGGAGGGGTGGGGTTAGAAAAGGTCGACCCTAAAAATGCACACCTCGCCTTATCCCACGGATATCCGTCTCCGGCGGTAAGGTCTCAGAAAGTACGGAGCTAACACAAAAATTACCCATAAAAAGGTCGTGTGTGACCGACCTCAAGCAGTTGTCCCTTGGGCACTGCGGTCACGCTCTCAGGTCACTAAGACCACCTTTAATCCAATTTCCTTTTCAGGTACCTCCAGAACAACCCTTCCACGGTGTGGGCAACCGGGAAGTGATAACCGCCCTCATACCCCTAACAGCACTCAAGACCACTGTATTCATAATCAACCTCCCTCTTCAATTCCTATTATTCCTCCTACATCGACTTTCAACTCTAAACTTCTTTTTTCGGCTTCCCCCTCAAGTGTCACCATAGCCAACGATTCTAGTGCTCAAAACACTGTCCCAGGTCTACTGAAACCTCGCTCCAAACTACACATTGGAGCCTTCAACGTACGCACCCTATGTCAAATCGGTCAGCAGGCTTCCTTGGCTAAAACCCTAGAGTCTCTTTCCATTGATGTATGCTGTGTCTCCGAAACACGCATACAGGATTCCAGTGTGGTCATTCACTTGACCTCACCTCGGCAAACGGAGAGCCAACGAGATACACCCTTCGTGTATCCGGTGACCCGATGCCAGTTCTCGTGGACTGGCAGGTGTAGGCATAGCACTAAGCATGAGGGCGAACAAGCACTGCTAGAGTGGATCCCCGTCAACAGTCGTCTATGTGCTGTTCGGCTAAACGGCTCCGTAAGAACTCGGAAGGATAGGGACACACGTCGTTGCCTTTTTGTCGTTTCTGCCTACGCTCCCACTGACTGCAGCTCAGATGAAGTGAAAGATGAATTTTACAGAAAGCTATCCGAACTTCTTCAGAAAGCTAAACGCTCAGACATAGTACTCGTAGCAGGTGACTTTAATGCTCAGATAGGTAGTTTAAACCAAACAGAAAGGCATTTAGGTGGGTATTTTAGTATTCCGACACAGCGAACAGATAATGGTGATCGTCTGCTGCAACTATGCTCAGACAATCGTTTATTTTTAGCAAACACAAATTTTAAGCATAAGGAGAGACATCGTCTAACATGGCGACCCCCTACACCAAACCAACGATGGACTCAAATAGACCATATTGCCATCAGTCATCGTTGGAGAGGGTCGGTAGAAGATTGTCGCTCATTCTGGAGTACCTGCTTGGACTCCGACCATGCCCTAATACGGGCACGCATCTGCTTGCGCCTCACTGGACGCAAAAAAGCCACATTAAAAAGACCCATTAGAACTGAGTTGAGTAACGAGAAAACCAAAAGTAGGTTCCAGGAACAACTGAGGTCACACTTAGGTAGTTGTGAAGACGAGGCTGACCCAGATGTTGCTTGGAAAGACATACAAGCAGCTGTGGAAACAGCAGTGACATCTATTAGTGACTTAAACCACAGAGTTACAAAGAACCAGTGGATTTCTTCAAAGTCTATCACACTGATGGATTCTCGCAAACTCGTCCCATCAGGTTCCGAACATGATGAAATCAGATCTAGGTTAAGAAAAAGTCTAAGGAACGACCGTGAGCAGTGGTGGGCAACGAAAGCAAAAGAGATGGAAAAGGCGGCGACTATAGGGAACACAAGACAGCTTTACAGACTAATAAAAGAAACTGGAATTAATAAGTCAAGTGTAAGTGAGATTATTTCGGAAAAAATGACATTCTCATCTGCTCCCAGTCCAGACGTTTAGAACGATGGGCGGAACATTTAGAGAACAGTTCAGCTGGCCTTCAGCTACTCTACAACTACCCTCCATTCCCAGACAATGTGAATGGAACATTGAAGTAGGTCCCCCAACTCTTGCTGAAGTTCAAAAGGCTATAGTTAATCTGAAACGAGGAAGGGCAGCTGGTCCAGATGGATTGGCTCCAGAAGTCTTTAAGGATGGTGGTCCAATTTTAGCGATTAGGTTGACTAATATTTTAGCTAAGATCTGGG